CAGAAGTGGCGCTGTGGCTCAAGTGGTAGAGAGCTAGCCTTGAGCTGAAGAGCTGAGGGACAGCACCCAGGCCCAGAGTTCAGGCCCCACGACCAACCCCCCCCCCAAAAAAAAAAAGTCAAGGTGATATATCCTACCACCTCTTGGGTTGGATTTCTCTCCCTCCCTCCTCAGACTGGGACTTGAACTCAGTACTTGATGCTTTCATTCATGGGCTGGCACGTGGCCAACTAAGCCATGCCCCCTACTCCTGGGGTTTTAACAACTACAATGTAAAGCTGTATCTTTAATTAGAGTGCATTAGTCATCTTTTGGATGTCTTGGTTGTTTTATACGTGCTATGTATTTATTGTATTTAGTGTTCTTTTTGACAATACTAGGATTTAAACTCAAGGACCTTGTGCTTGCTATGCAGGCGCTCTACCATGTGAGCCACACCCCCAGCCCTATGGATTAATGTGTTCATTCTCCCTACAGTAGAGTTTAAGTGGAAGCTCTTGCTGAAAAGCAGATGTATTTTCAGTATTTTAAATGAATATTAACACACAACTGTCCTTGGGCTTCTCCAGGGTTACCTTCCATACAACCCCGCCTACCAGACTTGGCTTTGGAGGAATGTGACAGTGTAAAACCACTTCCCAGGGCAGTACCCACTGCTCATTGGCTTATGGGTCTGTCTGGGCAACAAAGACTAAAAAAGTTACCACTGTGTGGGTGTGGCCAAGAGGCAGAGGCAGGAGGAGCTCAGTCTGAGGTCTCTGCCTAGGCAAAAAGCAAGAGACCCTACCTGGAAAAAAAAAAAAAAAAGGAGAGATGGGCGCTGGTGGCTCACCCGTGTAATCCTAGGTACTCAGGAGGCTGAGATCTAAGGATTGACGTTCAAAGCCAGCCCAGGCAGGCAAGGCTGTAAGACTTATCTCCAATTAAACACCAGAAAACTGGAAGTAGCAGTGGGGCTCAAGTGGTAGAGCGCTAGCCTGGAGCTGAAGAGCTCAGGGACAACGCCCAGGCCCAGAGTTCAAGACCCACGACCGACAAAAAAAAAAAAGGCTCAAGCCCTAGAACATTCCAGGTCCTAAAATAAATACTGCCAAAAACAAAGTTAGCCTTTTGTGATTTGAGATGAAAAGGCAGTTTCTTGTATTTAACTGCCTTCCTACGTTCCCTTGCAGAAAACTCTTAAGGTAGCTATACATTTGTGTGTGTACTTGTACTTGTAGGTCTACTCAACTGAATCATGGTTTGAAAGGCTTTGCTACTCCAGTGTTTTAAATTTTTTTGATTATTGAATGTTAACATTAAAATTGTCTTTGCTCCAGGGAATAATACTGAACTGGCATTGTACTGCTTTTGTGATCGTGTGCGTGCATGCACATGTACACGCAGGTATACCAGTCTTGGGGCTTGAACTTAGGACCTGAGTGCTGTTCCTGAGCTTCTTTTGTTCAAGGCTAATGCTCTATCTGTTGAGCCACAGCTCCAGTTCTGACTCTTTTTGTTTGATAACGGTTGGCTTCAAACTGCAAACCTCAGATCTCAGCCTCTTGAATAGCTAAGATTACAGGTGTGAGCCACCAGTGCCCAGTTTTTCTGATGTTCAGTTGATTTTCTCTTGTAGAACTTTAAATTCAACTCATTGTAGTTTTTACAAAAACTGGTGGTATCTCCCCCCCCCCATTTTGGGTGGTAAAACTTTTGAATGAAAATTGGCATCTTATAATGTGGTCAGCCTCCAGTTCTTCATGCCCCAGATGTGTATGAAATTTGCCTCCAGAGAAGGCTGGTGTGTTATTGGTTGATAATATTCCAAAATTTGTTTGTTATGGTTATTGTATAAGAGGTTTTTGTCTGTAAATTAAATGCTGTTTGTTTCTTTATATTTTGGTGCTCTATTAAACTTATTGACTTCTGTTGTTAATCTGTACTTTTTCTTTGATATATAATACACAAAGAGCAATAGATTTTTCTTATCCTAATCTTTATGACCCTGTGTGTGTGCATGCACACATGCACGCACATACATGTGTGCCAGCACTGGGGCTTGAACTTAGGACCTGGGCATTGTCCCTTAGCTTTTTTGCTCAAAGCTAGTATTCAATCACTTGAGCCACAGCTCTCTTTTTGCTGGACACTTTCCTGCCTAGTCTACCACAATCCTTAGATCTCAGCCTCCTGAGTAGCTAGGATTACAGGCCTGAGTCACCAGCGCCCCAAGCTTTCTTCTGCACTTTTAATCAAGCTGTTCATGAATATATATTCATATCGCTGGATTCCTGACTTCTGGCTCCCATCTTCATTTTCCCAGGTCCATCCAGCCTCAATTTCCTCCCACTAATGTCAACACAGCAGCACCTGAGTCTTGGGACACATAAGTTGCCAGCCACTGGCATCCCTCGCTCACTTTCCAACACTCCTCTCTGATCCAGAGTGAGGGAGATTGGGGAGTACAACAGCAGGAGACTTGGCCTTGCTCGGAAGCAAGAGTGGCTTATGCAGACACAGGCAGACCGGGACACGGGGAGGCAGACTCTCTGTATTTCCCTCTTTGCCCCTCCCCACCCAACCCTGACCCCAGCCACCATCAGAAAAGGACCTGGCAACATTTCAGCCCTTATCATCATCTTGCTGAGGAGGCTCCTGAGATGGGGAAAGGAGAGAAAAATAAATATTATATATATATATATATGTATATATATATTCCTACGTAAGGTACATATATGTGATCCTATGCATTCTATAGATTACAACGCCCATTCTATTCTTGCTAGTTTTCAATATGTACTAGGCAACCACAGTTCAAGGACAGTACCCAGGCCTTGAATTTGAGCCCCAGGATGGACACAAAAACAAAAATACCCTGCATCAAAGGTATATGTATGCAATGAAAATCAAAAGCTGGGAAAGCAATTCTACTTCCTGGGCAGTTACAAAAATTGTTTTATATATTTCTTT